TCACCGCACAGCTCGTCCTCAGAGCTGCTGACCACCTCCAAAGCCCCCCGGTCCCTGAGGGTGCCCAGGCAGGCAGGAACCTGGCTTGGCACTGGGTGACATCCCTGCGGGGCTGCAGAGAGCCCCAGGCTGTGAAGTTGCTGGGAATGGAGCAGGGGGGAAACGATGAAACCAGGCGCTGGGGATGGGGGCTGGCGTGTGATAACTGTGCTGGTTCTCAGCCCTTTGCTCTGGCCAGAAAGCCTTTGGCACAGCTTGGGACCCTGTGCCAAGGGGGATGCCGTGGCCACCCACAGCTGCGTGGGTGCCCTTGGGAGACCGGGAGCCTCCTGGCCTCACCTCAGCCTGGCTGTCCTTCATGCGAGAGCTGCCGTCTCTCCATCCCTCCTGCTGACTCACTGCCGAAGCCTCAGCCCTGCCAAGGGCTTCGCAGGTGCCATCAGACCCCCCTAAGACAACCCAGCGTTATTTCTGGGGGAGCGATGGGGACGTGTGCTCGGCCTGGGGGCCAGCTGGCAAGCTGGGTGGCAGCTCCCCGGAGCAGTCCTTCGCCACAGCTGCTGCGACATCCCCGGTCCATGCTAGTGGCATCTCAAGGTGGGGGGGTGGCACCTGTGGAAGGATCCTCTTGCTGCTGTGCTGTCCGGCTTCCCACATCTGGGTGTGCTTGGATGTCCGCTGGCGGGCAGCTTCCTGCCTCTGGCCTCGGGGGCCCTTCCTGCCCGGCCAGGAGAGGCTTCGTTGTGCTCGTTAACCCCTGGCTTCGTCCCCAGACGAGGAGTGGCCGGAAGCGGAGAAGGCCGAGAAGTTGGCGAGAGGAGCCGCTCTGAAATGGGCTTCAGGGGTGTTTTACTGCCCCGAGAAACTGGAGGGACTCGGGCAGTACCGGAGCCGAGAGACGCAGAGGAACAGCTCCATCCAGTCCCGGCTGAAGGTGGGTGTTTGCCGCTGCCCGCCCCAAGGACCCCCACGGCCTCCCCAAGCAGCGATCTCAGCCAGGGTCCCCTCTTCTGCATTGAGTCACCTTTTTTTTTTTTTTCTCACTTCTGGAAAAATCTTGTCTTTTGGCTGGCGCTTGGTGGGACAAACGCAATTGTTTGGGGGAAAAGGTCTGGTGAACCCCAGCGCCACCCCCTGCCTTCCCCCTGGGTAGTTCCTGAAGTGTTAAAATGAGTCTCCCGTGTCTCTGACCATCCTTCAAAACAAACCACCAAGGGTGTTCAGTGCATCCCATGTGTGAGAGTCAGTGAGACAACTTGTTTTCAGAGGAAACCACCTGCTTCTAGTGATGCTGGGTGAAAACGCGTCTCGGCGCCAGGAGTTAAATGGGCAGACAGGGCACGGAGACATGCCAGTGCCACCGCAGGGCTGGAAAAGATGGAAATCCATTTTGGAGGAGGGTTCAAACGGCTTCTGAGGTGCTTCATGCCGTTAATATGCCTTGGGGGGCGCACAGAGACCCTCTGGGCTGCAAATATTTTGCAGAAGCAAAGTAATCTTTTAAAATGGAGAGGAGACATCTGGTCACTGCTCACCCTGCTGCCTTGGTCACCCCAAAGTGATGCCCTTCTCCCACCTCCTGCACAGCAGCCATTGCCCCCCACCCCATAAATAGTCACCGTGACTCAGTTTACCCAGAGAGGGGGGAAATGGGCCATCCCTGCTGCTGGAGCCGGTTTCTTGAGGCTGGGTGTGCTTGGGTCTGATGGGACGGCGTCACCACGGAAGGTCTGGGAGATATGATGGCACGATGGCGTGGGCAGATGTGACCTTGTGGGGCTGGGAGAGCGCACGCAAGAGAGGCCTGGCAAGGCCGGGGCAAACTGTGCACGAGTCCTCCCGCCTTCGAGAGCTTCTCCACTGTCCCTCTGTCCTCTTCTGCTCCTCAGTCAACTGTCCAGTCCTACCTGGAGGGGGTAAGCGTGGGGCTGGAGCAGTTGCGGTCGGCGGCCCAGGAGGTGCAGAGCGTGTGCCAGGACCTGGGGGCTGCGCGGTGGGCCCTGCTCGACAGCGCAGACCGATTCCAGGGCCTCCAGCAGATGCGGGCGCTGATGGCGGAGCACGTGCAGCTGGCCTCGGTGGTCCAGGTGCTGCCCCAGCTCTTCTCAGGTAAGGCAGTCACCCGGTCCTTGTGGATTTGGGCTGGAAGGCACCGGGGGGGTTCTCCAGTCCAACCCCGGGCTCCGTATGGGGCTGGCGGCAAAGCTGCAGCAGGTCGCTCCGGCTTTGCCAGTTGGGTTTGGAAAGTCTCTGTGGATGGAGGTGCCTCTGTCCCTCCAGGCCCTGATCCAGCAGGGTGTTCCCAGAGCTCCAGATCTCAGACCCTTCCCCTCCCCATCTCCCTGCTGACCTGCGCCCCTGACCCCGGTGCCGACCCCCTTGACTCCCCGCGCTCAATCCTGACATCTCTCCTCCCTCTCCCACAGTCCACGAGGTTTTTTCCCATACCCTGCAGCTGCTCCGTGGGCAGCAACTCCTGGAGGCCCACGCGGAGCTCATGATGATGGAGCACCTCCGGGATGACATCCTTTCCCAGCTGCACCTCCGTGGGCTCTCTGATGCCCAGGCAACCGTGCTGTCCTACTTTGGTGGCCTGCAGGAGCTCAACGAGAGCCTGGCCAAGCAGCTGTGGGACATTGTGGGCAGCAGCCTGCGGCTGGGGGTGGGCAGCAACTCCTGGAGGCCCACGCGGAGCTCATGATGATGGAGCACCTCCGGGATGACATCCTTTCCCAGCTGCACCTCCGTGGGCTCTCTGATGCCCAGGCAACCGTGCTGTCCTACTTTGGTGGCCTGCAGGAGCTCAACGAGAGCCTGGCCAAGCAGCTGTGGGACATTGTGGGCAGCAGCCTGCGGCTGGGGGGGGGGGTTCTCTTTGTCACCGCTGTAAGGATCATTGAGCGGGAGGAGAAAATAGATGATACTCTGCTCCTGGAGGCCACCTTCCTCCCCCCTGGCCGCCCAAAGGGCTGGAGGCAGAAGTTTTACCGCGTTCTCCAGGAGACCATCACAGGAGCCCACTTCCATGGCACCCGCGTGGACACTGAGGGGCCAGGGCTGGCCCGGCGCCTGGCCGCGCTGCAGAAGGCCATCGTGTCTGAGCTGCGTGTGGTGAAGGACCTGATGGTCCAGTGCGTCCCAGCTCACTACAACATCCTCAGCGTCTGCACTGCCACCTACCACCAGGCCCTCAGCAGCCACCTCCAGGACATCCTCCGAGAGGACCTGGACAAACAGGCGCTCTTCCTCCTCCTCGAGTGGGCGCTTCGTGTGTACCACAGGTCAGCACCAACCGAGCAGGGGAGGTCGTGGAGAACCAGGTTGTCCACCAGCATGCGGGCGGGTTGGGAGAGTGGCTCCAGCTGCCTGGGGATGTCCACTGGGAGGAAGTTCTGGAAAACACAGGTCTTCCCAGCCCTGTTCCACCTCTGTCCTCCAGCCCAGAGATGATGGGTCACCCTGACCTTCTCCCAGAAGTGGACGTTTCTGCTCTGGGCCCCGTGATGTCCCCTGAGCTCGTGGATCAGACAGAGAGGAAATACGTGGTGAAAGTCAAGGTGAGCGAGCGCATGTGCAATGGGTACGGGGACCCAACGACCACTGCTGAGCCGCCATCTGCTCTGACAGCAGCAGGAGACCGTGAGCCTGTGGGACGAGGCCCGGCACTCGCTGCTGCGCTATGTGTTGGGTCTCAGGGGAGCTGGTACCTCACTTCCATCCATCCCACAGGCTAGCGTGCTCGAGTGGATGCAGAGGACCCTGGAGGTGGAGTTCAAGGAGTGGTTTAGGGACGAGGAACCCGAGACAGACCATCAAGGCTTCTTCCAGTCAGCCCTGCCTGTCATTGTCATGCAGGTGGGTCCTCAGCGCCACGGGTGCAGTGGGGCACGGCCATGCTGAGGGCCCCCAAAAATGAGGGCTGCAGCCTCCCGCTGGCTCCCTTTCACTCTCTTTGTGTGCAGATGCTGAATGAGAATATCCAGGTCGCCTCCTTGATCTCCGACTCTCTGCAGCAGAAGGTTTACAACATGGCTTTGGAGGAGCTCGAGGCATTTCTGGGCCGGTCAGTGGGACCCCCGCACCCCTGCCCATCCTCGCAGCCCCTGGGTCCCATGGCCAAGCACCGTAGGCTGATGGTGGAGATCTCTGCCGTGGGGCACCCAGTGCTCGTCCAGGTCCCAGAGGGCTGTCTGCCCGTGGGGCTACTGCCTCAGCCCGCAGGGCCATCAGCTCCCAGGGCTTGCTGCCCCAAGCGTGTCTGCAGTAGCGTCAAGCCCTGCTCTCCTGAGGGGTCCAGAATGGGTCCCACTGTCCCACCCTACCCAACAGCCTGTCACTCTCCAACCTGGTGGCAGGAGCTGGAAAGCCAAGTGAGCTGGGAGGGCTGTGGGGGGTCCACGTGCCCCCAGGAGCATCCCAGCTCCAGGTCCTTGTGGGGAAACGTCCGGGGCTCTGCCCGCCCATTGCAGTTGACTCGCTGTGTTGCAGTTTGCGGGAAGCCCTAGTGCAGTGTGGGAAGGAGCACCAGAAGGACCGTACTGTACCCAAGTACTATGTCTCCTACCTGCTGGCCATGCTTAACAACAACCTGACTCTCAGGTAACGTGCACCAGCACCTTGCAGGTCTCGTGGCAACCCCGGTCCCCAGCCCTGAGTGGGACCAGTGTCCCCACATGCATCCTGGACTACCTGTCCCCTCCTGTCTTCTAGCTCCTCTGTCTCCTCCCTGCACCCTGACACTGCCCGCAGAGAAGTCCCCACGTCCCTCCGGGCTGCTCTAGACCGGACGCAGAAGAAAGCCTGCCAACTGCTGCTGGAGGAGCTGCTCCTGGACCTGCAGGTACGTTTGTCCGCAGCCCTGAGGCTGGCAGGGCTGCGACAAACCCGTCCCCAGCAAGAACAGCCCTGCCACTAACACCCCCAGGCACAGGTTTGTTCCTGCCCAGGATCCCCTGCTATCATCCTGCAGATATCTCTGCCAGCCTGGCTCCCAGACCTCGATAAACCACCCGCAGCTTGGGCGACGTCTGTCACCAGCCAGCACCGCCCCGTATCGCTGGGGCAGATGGTTTGCGGCCCCCAAACCACTAACCGACAGAGACCATGGGCCACAGCCCTCCCGGGCGGCCTCGCGCTCCTTTTTAGGGCTGTTCCACAGCAGAAATCCAAACAGGAGAGAGGCAACGTCCGTGTGGAGGATATAAGTCCATGTGTGACTGCCTGAGTCGTTTCCTGTCAGCGTAGTCAAATTTAGCTTTCCTGGAGTCTGGACCAAAAAATCTGGAATAATTAGCAGCATGGCTATTTAGAGCTTGAATGCCATGAAAACAAAGGAGCAGCTAAAGGGCGAAATGCTCACAGGCAGCGTGGAGACTGCCAGCCCCAGCACGGGGAATGTCAGCCTGCAGGCAAGGACAGCAGGGCAGGAGGTCACAGCCCTCAGTCAAAACCATGTTATGTCCACACAAGGGAAGTGGAGAGGAGTGGAAGTGAAAAATAAAATCACAGCGTTAAAAATAAATTCACAGCGGGTATGTGAGGAGCAGCTTGCTGCCCAGGTGCTGCCCGCAGCGAGGTATCATGACGCAGATAAAGCCCCAAAATGCTGCCAGAATTTCCTAATCTAGACCACTTTTATATTTTTATGTTGACTTCTGGCTGGCAGTAGGGGCTTGACAGTTTGGGCCAGCAGCGGCTGTGGGATGTCGTGCCACCCCGCAGCTGGCAGCTGCTGCAAGAGCGACGCAATGCAGGGCACCGTACGCTGCTCCTCTGCTTCTTTCAGCCCCTCTGCCTGCAGCTGCCTTCCCGCAAGTGGCTCTCCGGGTCCCAGCTGGTCAGCAGCATGTGCGAAGTGATTGACAAGTATGCAAAGGACTTCTCCCGCGTCAGGAAACCCATCTTCACGGTACGGGTTGCTGCAGGGTGTCCTTCAAACGGCCGCTTGATGCGGAGCAAGGCAGTCGGGCGGTTGGGTGCCTTGCTGGGGCGCAGGACACAGGGAATGCGGTTGCTGCTGGGTGTGCTGGAGAGCTCGTATCCTCTGCAGCAGCCCCGAGTGCACCGCCACGCAGAGGTGTTCAGGGTTTCCCCCAAACTCAGCTGCTTTCTCTGTCCAGGGGCCTTCCCAGCAGGTTGTCCCCACGGCTTGGCGTTGTATCCAGCCCCTTTCCCTGGGCGATCAGGGAAAAAATGAATCCAGCGCTAACAGCTCTCCCCTGCCCAGCTCCTGCTGACTGAGAGCGAGCTCGTGGTGGCGAGCCAGTACCTGCGGGCACTCATGCAGAAGAAGATGGTGTGCAAGAGCGAGGAGGAGCGGGGCCAGTTCTGCGACCGCCTGCTGCAGGACGCCACGCAGCTCCGGGAACTCTTCTGTGGCCTGGTGAGGGGTGCCCAGGTGCGGCGGGGAGCCGGGGCTGGGCCGCAGGAGTGAGGTTGGTGCAAGGAGCTCATCGCTCACCTCTGTTGCCCTCCTGTTCCCCTCCAGCCCACAGCTGGGTTGGTACCTCAGGCCACGAACGAGACGTGGCTGTTGTTACACTGGGGCAGTTGTGAGGCCGCAATGGGAACTGGCTGGATGAGGGACTCAGGGGACCATCCACCCTGCCCCGCGCAGGTCGGTGGGGCTGCACAGCCTCGTCTTACCTTGGGGCGAGCCAGCCCCGATGGGTGGGACACGCTGAGTGGGGAGACACCAGCGGCATGGGGCCAGGTCCCCACGTGGGCGCTGAGGGCTGCAGCTCACTAGCCACCTCAGTGCCTTCCTCCCGGTCTCACACACGGCCGCTGTCCGCTGTCCCTCCCAGGGTCTGGACCCGTCACAGCAGAGCCTGGAGGCCGTGTTTGCCCTGCGGGAGCTGATCTACCTCAAAGACCCGGCACTGCTCAGCCTGGAGGTGCTGGGCTTCATCACCAAGTACCCCGACGTCAGGTAAGAAGCCCAGCTTGGCAGTCCTGTAAGATGGGGTGGGCGTGAGTCTGCCCCAGGGAGCCAGGCAGAAACCTGGGCTTTTTTCCCCCTCCTCCCTGAGGTTTCACTTCCCATCCTCTAGATTTGAGGGGTTCTTGCAAAGTACTAAGGGCAGAGATGTAAAGGAAAAAGCAATTCTGCTGCGGCATTCACCCATCTGTATTTGGTGGCCAAACAAAGCGTGAGAAATCACAAAACACCAAACTGGAAAGGTCAGAATCAGCTAAAACCAAAGAAATATCAATACCAAAATCACAAGGTCTGTGGGTTATTTTCAACAGAATTTTAAAGCTTGGCTGGTGCCAGCTCTCCTCTGGCCTCAGCTCAGTTTCTCTGGATCGTGGGAGGTTTGCGGGACGCGAGCCCTGGGCCAGCAGTGCCCAGACTCACCTCTCACTCCCTGCACAGCGACGAGCACATCTCCACCTTGCTGGATCTCCGGGGTGACGTCTCCAAGGATGTGCGGCACATGGTGCTGGAAATGATGGCACAGCACCCCCAGGCCCTGCCCGAGAGCTACCGGCCCATCTTCAGCACCATCCTGGTCCCTGCGCCGGAGCTGCCCTTCTGCCTTCGCAAGGGCAAGTGCGCCTGACGCTGCGCCCCGCGGCACGCTCCCCGCTGCCCCCACGGACCTACGGATCACGCAGGACGTCTCTGGGGCTGCTTGTGGGGTGGATGGAGATGACAGATGGCATCCCCTACGTGCAGCACCTTGCCCTGGGCTGGGGACAGTCTGGCTACACGTCATCCTGCTCTGGTCTCGCTGAGCAGACTGTTCCCTGCAATCTCCAGCCCTGGGAGACCTGGGTCAGGAGAAAATCAACCCACAGCTATTTTGCTGGCCTGCTGAGAGCTGCTTAGGTCTGGCCTGTTGCCTGCAGGAGAAAGAGGAACCACAGAGCAAAGGGCAGGAGTCTGCAGTTGGGGTGAGTCCACGTCTCCGTGGGGCTGCAGAGACATTTGGGTTTCCCCGAGTCTCCAGACAGCCCCCGGAGCCAGCGTGTCCTGGCCACGGAGTGTGTTACCACCCCAGCTCCCAGGCAGGCTGGAGCCTTGCTAGACCCAGGCTTGCAGGAGGGTTATAGTGAGTTATTCCTCTGCTTTGGCTCAGCCCAGAGGTCTGGGGGTGCTGCTCCATCAGCCTGGGCCCTGCGTGGCAGGGCCAGCTCACGGCAGCAGAGGAGAAGGGCACAAGGGGCCTCGCGACCCTGGGTGGTGCAATCCCCCCGTCCCTGCCGGCACGAGGGACAGCTCTGCGCTCCTGCTGACCTGCCCAGCTCCTGGCCTCAGCTCTCTTGCCAGCACCCAAGACAGGACGGGAGTCCAGGACACTCCATCCTCTTGGAGAACATGACTGGAGTTGTGTTGGGTCTGTCGAGCATCCCCCTGGCCCAGCTTCCTCCACAATGGGCAGCACCTCCTTGGGCGCTGTCTCTGTCCCTCCATCCTCCGCTGCTGTCCAGCCCTTGGTCATCTCCTCCACGGGTGCCACGTGAAGATCAGGAGAAAAGCCTGTCTGTCTGCCTGCATCCTCCTGCCCAGCCCCAGGCTCTGCCACCCTTCCTGCCTGGGGCGGGCCCCATCCTGCCGTCCTTGCGTGGCACCACTGCCAGAAATAAAGGCCCGAGCTCTGCAATCACGCCCCAGCGTCCAGGCTCTGCTGCCCGGGGGGTCAGAGGGCACGTGGGTGGCACAGCATCACCCCAGGGATGGCTCCCTGCACCCGCTGCCGCCCTGGGGCATCGCCCAAGGACGTGGGAGATGATGGGGACGCTACGTGTGTGTCCCCTGTACGTCCGGGATGGTGACGGGGGGGATGGGGAGGGCACTACGCTATTCCACAGCATGCAGCCCTGGGGCGAGGGGTCAGGCAGCTGCGGCGGTGGGGAGATGCCCACCGTCCTCCCTGGGGCTCGCGGTGTGCCTGCCCAGCTCTCCACGGCCTCTGCCTGCTTGGGAAGGCGTCTGCCCTCCGCACCTGCCCCAGCTGGCTCTGGGACGCGCTCACCTGCACCAGGGCCGCAGTTCAAGGGGTGGCCCTGAGCCCTGGGAACGGCCAGCTGGG